AACCCCAAGCCCCAAACCCCATACCCCAAACCCTAAACCCCAAACCCTAAACCCTAAACCCTAAAACCCTAAACCCTAAGCCCCCTAAACCCTAAACCCCCTAAACCCTAAACCCCCTAAACGCTCAACCCCACACCCTAAACCCCAAACCCTAAACCCTAAACCCCGAACCCTAAACCCCAAACCCTAAACCGTAAGTTGCCCCCTAAACCCAACATCATGGCGCGACCCAGGTGACGAGCCCAAACTTCCCATCGCAGTACGCCGACAGCGACTCCTGCCGCATCACACCCCGCCCGGGCCGGATGGGGGGGGGGATTCGTGAAGTTGGGGGCTTTTAGGGTCTGGTTTTTAGGGTATATATATATATATGTATATAATATGTACAGCATGTATGTATATGATTCTTTTTTGTGTGTTTTTTGGTTTTGTTTTTTTGGGGTGTGTGTGTGCGCGCGTGTGTACAGGCTTTTCGGGATTCTATAGGGTTTGAGGGATGAGGGTTGAGGGTTTAGTTGGGAGGTTGGGGTTTCGTTCCCTTTTATTGAACCCTGAACTCCGAACCCGAAACCCCAAACCCCGCTGAACCCTGCGAGGCTGATGCGCAACCTGATGCCCTAGACCCTAGACCCTAGACCCTAGACCCTAGACCCTAGACCCTAGACCCAAGACCCAAGACCCTAGACCCTAGACCCTGGACCCCAGACCCTAGACCCTAGACCGAAACCCGAAACCCGAAACCCGAAACCCGAAACCCGAAACCCGAAACCCGAAACCCGAAACCCGAAACCCCTAAACCCTAAACCCTAAACCCTAAACCCTAAACCCTAAACCCTAAACCCTAAACCCTAAACCCTAAACCCTAAACCCTAAACCCTAAACCCTAAACCCTAAAACCTAAACCCTGCACCAAAGCTTTACGCCCAAACATCTGGGAGGCATGCAAGTGTCGGCCACGTCGCGCCTGGCCTTCGAACATCGGGAGAGGGGGGGGCTTAGAGGGATCTAGGCTTTTAAGGGTGCTTTTGCCGGGTTTACTGGGTTTGCGGCGTTTACAGGGTTTATGGGGTTTATTTTTTGAGAGTATTCTTTGTTTTTCGCCGTGCGGGAGTAGGGTTTTGGATTGTCTAGGACGCAGGGAGGTATGGGTTTGTGCTCGTGTGCTTGTTGCCGTGGCTGGGGTGGAAGCAGCTGCCAAGAGGTCCCGGCTTGTAGGGGGAATTCAGGGGGTTTAGGGTTCGGGGTTTCGGGTTTAGGGTTTAGGGTTTTGGGTTTAGGGGTCTGGGCGATGAGATTCCATACGCACTGCCAAGGCTGCAGCGATGTTAAAATGTGCTGAAGCTTTGCAGCCAATCCGCATAGCATGTTTAAGGAATGCCGCCTCAAGCGAGAAGTAGCTTGGGGTTTAGGGTTTAGGGTTTAGCGTATGAGATGAATGTGGCGACTCCTCTGCACCTGCAGACTATGGTGTTAGCAGTCTTGGCAGTCTCAGCGAAGGCTTGGGGTTTCGGGTTTAGGAACCCTAAACCCTAAACCCTAAATCCTAAACCCTAAAGCCTAAAGCTATTGAACCTAAGCCCTAAACCGCAAGGCTCGCGGGTTGACAGGTTTGGTTGCAGCGATCAGACCCTTGACCCTAAAACCCTGAAACCCTCAGACCTGAAACAAACCCTAAGCCCCTAAAACCCTAAACCGCTCCTAAACCCTAAATCCTAAACCCAAAACCCTGAACCCTGAACCCTGAACCCTGAACCCTGAACCCTGAACCTGAACCCTGAACCCTGAACCCTAAACCCTAAACCCTAAGCCCTGACCCTCAGGTTCAGAACGGAAGAGCTCTACGACGCCTTGGAGATCCACTCCACCAACGCCATCCAGTACTCCGGTGCCTTGCGCTTGTGCTAGGAGGGTGGTTTAGGGTTTAGGGTTTAGGTTTAGGGTTTAGGGTAGGGTGGCGCAGGGTTTAGGGATCAGGGTTTAGGGTTCCTGAGCGGAGAAAAAACGCGACCCCAAACCCAAAACCGCAACGCCCGAACTCCCGAAACCCCGAGCCCTGTGATTGAACCTTCACGCTAAGACAACGATCTGGAACCTCCAACGCCCCATCATCAGCCGAAAGCCGAAACCCTATACCCCACCCTGAACCCTAAACCCTAAACCCTAAACCCTAAACCCTAAACCCTAAACCCTAAACCCTAAACCCTAAACCCTAAACCCTAAGCCCTGAGAAAAATACTGGAACCCGAACCGCTCAAACCCCAAGCCCCGTAACCTCAAGCCGAAAGACGCTAATCCCAAAAGACCAAATGGGAAGGGACCCCTAATATGGACCAAAATTAGGATCCCCTTATAGTAAGGACCCAAGAAGGTACCAAACCCTAGACCCGAAACCCAAAACTCCTAAACTCCTAAACTCCTAAACTCCTGAAACCCCTAACCCCCCTAAACCCCTGAAACCCTAAACCCTAAACCCCAAACCCTAAACCCCCAAACTCTAAACCTTAAACCTTAAACCCGAACCCCCCAAATCTTAGCGGCCCCTAAGCCCAAGCCCATCCGAAGCCCTAGACCTCGCGCCGCGGTTTGGGGTCTGAAATTTAACCGTAACCCCTGAACCCCAAACCGCAAACCCCAAACCCAAACCCCAAACCCTAAACCTAAACCCTACACCCTACACCCTAAACCCTAAACCCTAAACCCTCAACCCTAAACCCTAAACCCTAAACCCCAAACCCCAAACCCCTAAACCCCTAACCCCTAACCCCTAAAAGGGTTCAGACCTCCGGGGATCCGAGGCCTGAACGCCCCGCAGAACGTCACCCCTCGTGGGACGAGCCTTAGCCGAGCCACGTCGTCCCAGACCCAAAGGGTTTAGGGTTTAGGGTTTAGGGTTTAGGGTTTAGGGTTTAGGGTTTAATGTTGACTTGACATTAATAAAGCCCGCTACAATTATAAAATCCCGCTGCCCGGAACACAATAATGTAACCCGCCACAATTATAAAATCCCCGCCCGGAATTATTTTTTTTCGGGCGATGTTGTGCAACTAACTTAAACTGATAAGTTTCAGGGTGTTGGAAGAGAATGAGTTTAGAGCTTGCTGGCTGCAGACACTCTTTTTGTCTACTACTACTACTACTACTACTACTACTACTACTACTACTACTACTACTACTACTACTACTACTACTACTAGTAGTACTACTAGTACTACTAGTGGTACTACTACCTAATACTAAAACTAATACTACGTCCTACCAGGATTTAGGCGGATATTATTGAGGAGGCCCTGGCCGAAAAGATTGATCAATGAAGGGGGGGGGGGTTATTAATGCGAAGTCAACATTAGGGTTCAGGGTTTAGGGTTTAGGGGATAGGGGATAGGGGATAGAGGTTAGGGTTGACGGTTTGGGTTTAGGCTTTAGGGTTTACGGTTTAGGGTTATCCTAGGTAGATCAGAGGGACCCTGAAAAGGGAGCCCTTGTCAACCCTCTTCTGGCACTCTCAAAACTTGACCTTATTGGGAGGGTCTGTATCTCCAAGGGTCCCCCTAATCCTATCCTGTAGAGTTTGGGGTTTACCCTAAACCCTAAACCCTAAACCCTAGAGTTTAGGGTTCAGGAAGGCTGCGGTTTAGGGTTAAGGGTCTAGGGTTTAGGGCTTTAGGGTCTTGGGTTCAGGGAGCCTCCGCCCTGAGTAGCGTTTACCAAAGGTTCCCCAACCTTGCGCCTCCCAAGGAGGGGTTACGGTTTAGGGTTCAGGGTTTTGGCGTTCAACCACTTCTATTTGATCCCTGCACCTAGATCCTTTGTTGGCAGCCCTCCTTAACACATACCTCCTTACTCCCTCAACTTTAAACTCTGAACCCTACTGCTTGTTCCAGGATCCGTTGGTTCACAAATCCGCAAACTGTGGACGACGGCTGGCGCATTTGCAGAGCACCTCGCTTTCGAACCATGCCTGGGTAGACCCCCACCACAAAGGTAGGGACGCAATTGCAGTGGTCTAAGCTTTAGGCTTACAGGCTGAGGTGGTTGAGGTGTTGAGGTTTGACCTCAATTCATAAACCCTAAACCCTAAACCCACGTTCTAGATCAGGGTCCGCCGCTTTCGGTATTCCAGGCTACAGAAACGGGAGCCCTTCCAAAAGGGACCTGTTTAAAAACAGCTTTCGAATCTCAAGCCCCAAGCCCCAAACCCTAAACCCTAAACCCTGCACCCCTGCCGACCACTAAACCTTGCGCTCCTACCGACCCTATCTCCCAAAGAAGCCCACGCTCTAAAACCCACTGAATCCCAGCCCCAAACCCCCCAAACCCTATGCCGGAAACCCCAAACTGCAGTTTTTGTCGACACTTCTTTTGAATGTGCAAACCCCTAGACTCTGAAACTCTACAACCCCCTAAGCCCTAAACTCTTACAGGGTTTCAGGTTTAAGCCCAGAAAAGCAACACCTACGCAAACCCAAAACCCGAAACCCTAATCTCCTAAACTCCCAAACCCCTAAACTCGCAAGCCCTAAGCCCTAGACCCCTAAACTCCTAAACCCCCAAACTCCTAAACCCTAAACTCCTAAACTCCTAAACTCCTAAACTCCTGAAACCCCTAACCCCTCTACACCCTAAACCCTAAACCCTACACCCTAAACCCCAAACCCTAAACCTTAAACCCTAAACTCCTAAACTCCTAAAAACCTGAAACCCCTAACCCCCCTAAACCCCTGAAACCCTAAACCCTACACCCTAAACCCTAAACCCTAAACCTTAAACCCTAAACTCCTAAACTCCTAAAAACCTGAAACCCCTAACCCCCCTAAACCCCTGAAGCCCCTAAACCCCTGAAGCCCCTAAACCCCTGAATCCCTAAACCCTAAACCCTAAACCCTAAACCCTAAACCCTAAACCCTAAACCCTAAACCCTAAACCCTAAACCCTAAACCCTAAACCCTAAACCCCTGAAACCCTAAACCGTGGAGCCGAAGGTCTGCACCGGAATCGCGGATATGGCCGGTTGCCTCTGCGAACTCGGGCTGCTCCGGCCGCAAGGAGAGGGTTTGGGGTTTAGGGTTTAGGGTTTAGGGTTTGGGGTTTGGGGTTTGGGGTTTAGGGTTTGGGGTTTGGGGTTTAGGGTTGCGGGTTTTAGGGTTTAGGTTTAGGGTTTAGGGGTTGGGGTTTAGGGGTTTAGGGTTTAGAGTTTAGGGTTTAGGGTTTCGGGTTTGGGGTTTGGGGTGTAGGGATAGGGTTTTATTCAGGGCTAATATTTAGGTGTTTTGTTTATGGGGTGTTTTTTTCGATTTAGGGTTGGATAGGGTTTGCATCGAGGTTTTTAGGGTATTAGGGTTTGGAAGGGTGTTGGGCATTAGGGGTTTGATGGGGTTAGGGTTTAGGTTTTTCAGGATTTTCGCGTGTAGGGCTTACGGTTATAGGGTTAGGGTTCTAGGAGAATGTTATCGAGTGTAAGGTTTAGGGTTTAGGGTTTAGGGTTTGGTTGTTTAGGGTTTGCGGTTTTAGGGTGTGGGGGTTCAGGCTTACAGGGTTCAGTGTTGGGGTGTGAAGTTTAGTGGTTGGGGGTTTTGAAGTTACGTGCGTCTGGGAGTTTTTCGTGTAGGGGTTTAGGGTTCGGGGGCGAGGGTTTCAGGGTTGCAGGAGAGCCTAAGGAATTTGGGAAAAGGCACTGACTCCTGAACCCGGCCCTAAACCTTGTTTAGGGTGTAGAGTTCAGCGTCTAGGTTTGGGGTTTGGGGTTTACCTGGGACTGTATATATCCACAGTTTCATAGTAACTACCACTCTTAATTAGTAGGCATAACCCATAAATCTGTAGGTAAAGAGGGTCCCCACATTAAATAACCCTAGTCCCTGGAAACAAACCCTAATGGGGCCCTTTGTCGGGGACCTTTTTTGTGCAACGGTGCTGTCGCGCCCTAAGCGTGAAGCCCGAGACTCAATGTTGATTGCTCGGAACTCAAGGTGCATCCGGGTCTAGGGCAAAGGCTTGGAATTGAGACCCGAAACACAAAACCCGGAGCCCCGAAGCCTAACCCTAAACCCTAAACCCTAAACCCTAAACCCTGAGTTCCTTACAGGGTTCTTAAGGGAGGGGGATTCAAGGGGGCTAGGTAAACCCTAAACCCTAATTCCCCTACAGAACTGAAAGTGTGCACTTTTTTGGGGGGCTTCTGAACTCAGCAACTAAGGAAGTGACAGCTGGTTCGCGCATTTAGGGAGCCCGTAGGTCTTCGGGTTCAGGGTCTAGGGTTTAGGGTTTAGGGTTTAGGGTTTAGGGTTTAGGGTTTAGGCTTTCGGGTTTCGGCAGCTGCTCCGAGCACGTGCGAAACTCCCTGATCCGTAGATCGCGTGGGTGGGTATCGTCTTGGTGGTATGCATCCATCAGAGGTGTGGGGTTGGGCCGCCTAAGCCTTAAATCACGAGTCCATAGTAAGAGGACCAGACAAAGGACTCTATTCTGTTTCTGCCTGTACGGTATTCGTTTAAGCACGACAACACGACAGTTCGGAACGGTTCCCGGCTTTCCGTGACATGGTTGCTGTCCCCGCCTTTTTTTGCACAGGATCGACTACGATGCTGCGCAATCTCAAGTCCACGTGGCCAAGTTTGTTCTTTGAATTCAGACGGGAGCCATAGCTTCGCGAACGCAAAGCGTCGGCTGTCAGTACGCGCGCCTGCATTAGTTGGGCCATAGGGTCCTGAACGCTCTGCCCGAAAGCCTTTATTGCTACAAATGTTTACCAGGGTCTGCGTCTCTGTGCCAGCAAGCCCATAATGCAGATAGATTTGTAAATGTATTGTTATAGGTATATATCAAGGGATGAAGACTTGTACCCCTCAAGGTTCCCCTTAATACACACACCTAATATGGCCCTTATATCCCCTTAGGGATCCTTAAACACAAACCCCCAGAACCCCAACAATCCAACCTCAGGGTCCAAGGTAGAACCCCATGTATATTATATAATATATACATAGCATTATGGATAATACCCTAAACCCTAAACCCTAAACCCTAAACCCTAAACCCTAAACCCTAAACCCCAAACCCTAAACCCTAAACCCTAAACCCTAAACCCTAAACCCTCTCCCCAGACCGTTTCCGAGCTTTTTCGGGCTTCTCCCAGACCATTTCTGAACCTCCTCACACTAAAGGGACGCTGGCCCGGTCGAGGGGCAGCGGTACCCTTGCAGTAACCCCAAAACCGGTTTATGTCGTGACGAGGGATGCAAACGGTCGGGACGCTTGCCCGTCGAGGGGCAGCGGTACCCCTACGGTAACCCAAACCAATGTGTGTGACAAAGAAGCACGCCCGATTTTGATGAAGGGCTACCCCACGATCTTTTCACAGCCTGGTTTTGGCGAAGGGAGCGCTGCCAAACTCCATCTCTTTGCAGCGAGGCTCAGATCGGGACAGTGCTGAAACAGCCTGCGCAGTGGTACTGCATGCTCCCTGGAAAAAGAAAAACTAGACTTTAGGAACTAAACACTGAAAATAAGTATGCCGGGTGGCTTGGGGTGGGCTTGCCGCCACGCGTTGTTGCGAGCGGCCCGGGCATATTTGGCTCTCGCAAGGTCTAGACATGTCTTTCGCAAGGCATGTTTATATCAACAGGCCTTTCGCCATGCAGACTTGATGCCCCGACGTAGAGAATAGAAAAAATGATAAGGTCCTCCGGCGAAAACGTCCCCCAACACAAAACCTAATTTTCTCTCAAAGATCTAACGTTTTGTCCAAAGCAGCTTATCAGATACCACTTTGCAGCAGGCAAGCTCCATGACATAAGGAAGCGTGCTAGATGTTAGTCCGAAGTACAGTGTTGCGTGCAGAAGTTGTGAGAATGTGGGCTGGCTTTGGTTCGGCTGGCTTGGGTTTGGCTCGTTGTAAGTAGTGATTGGGCGGTCTTGGGGTGGGCATGTTTGCACACTATTGCGTTCAGCTGACCAATACTACACCCTAAACCCTAAACCCTAAACCCTAAACCCTAAACCCTAAACCCTAAACCCTTAACCCTTAACCCTTAACCCTTAACCCTTCACCCTTCACCCTTAACCCTTAACCCTTAACCCTTAAACCCTAAACCCTAAGCCCTAAGCCCTAAGCCCTAAGCCCTAAACCCTAAGCCCTAAACACCTCGAAGCCCAGGTCCGAGCGCAAGAGCGCCATGGAATGTCGGGAGTGCCAGCCGGGGAAGCCCCTTAGCTTTATGTAAGGCTGAAGTTTAGGGTTTAGGGTTTGGGTTTAGGTTAGGGTTAAACCCTAACCCTAAACCTTAAACCCTAAACCCTAGACCCTAAACCCTAAACCCTAAACCCTAAGCCCGAAAGCAACCTAGCGCATAGGGCAGTTGGATCACTGCGACGTCCGCCATCAGACTGGAATTTAGGGTTAGAGGTTTAGGGTTTTTGGGTTAGAGGTTTAGGGTTTAGTGTTTGGGTTTTGGGGTTTTGGGGCTTGAGAGCTTGATGCTTAGGGTTCAGGGTTCGGCAGCGGATGGTCCCTGCTGTAGATCTTGCATTCTGCAATTGGGGCTATGCAGAGGTTTAGGGTTTAGGGTTTAGGGTTTAGGGTTTAGGGTTTAGGGTTTAGGGCTTAGGGTTTAGAGCTTAGGGTTTAGGGTTTAGGGCCCTCAAGAGCGATGTCGCCATTTGCACCGTGTAACCCCAAGCCCCAAGCCCTTCGTCCCTTGGACCCCGCACTCTTTAACCCTAACAGCTCAAAACCCTCAACTCCTTCCCTGCCTAAACCCTAAAACTTCCAACCCGAAACTCCAAACCTTAAACTCCCAACCCTAAACCCTAACCCCCTAACCCCCTAACCCCCTAACCCCCTAACCCCTAACCCCTAACCCCTAAACCCTAAACCCTAAACCCTAAACCCTAAACCCTAAACCCTAAACCCTAAACCCTAAATCCTAAACCCTAAACCCTAAGGTACAGAGGCAACTACTCCCAGACGACGTGCTCGGAGACATGGCTTGGCGAAGTAGGGTTTGGATCCGGGGCCCATAAACCCTAAACCCTAAACCCTGAACACATAACCCTAAACCCTAAAACCCTAAACCCTAGCCCTAAACCCTAAACCCTAAACCCTAAACCCTAAACCCTAAACCCTAAACCCTAAACCCTAAACCCTAAACCCTAAACCCTAAACCCTAAACCCTAAACCCTATTTAAAAACACCCGATAGCTGTAAACGGCCCCCCAGAACCACTAACCAGGAGGCATGGGAGCAAGCAGGAGTCTCCACTATTGCCTCAGCTTCCCTATCACACCGCCAATAGCAACACACGGTTGAGGGTTTAGGGTTTAGGGTTGGGGGTTGAGGGTTTAGGGTTGAGGGTTTAGGGGTCGGAATAATTACCAATAGTTTCCCTTATGGTCTTTTTTGTAAGTATACTATAATATCAATACAAAATTAACCGGCACTAAAGTGGGCCCTTTCTACTATAAATATCTACATTTTTTGGTTCCGACCTTTGGTTCCGATTATTCTTCTTCTGATAATAACCCCCCAATCCCTGTTCTCATGATTAAGGCCCCTATAGTAGGATTTTTAAAGAGTCCCGTCAGATAATTTAGGCAGATGTGTTGTTTTCGGGTCGGCCTGCAAGGTCTAAAGGGACAGTTTAGGGTTTAGGGTTTAGGGTTTAGGGTTTAGGGTTTAGGGTTTAGGGTTTAGGGTTCAGGGTTTAGGGTTTAGGGTCCATACTGGCTGCCGGTTAGGAGTAACAGCTTCTTCCTTGAACACTCGGACCACCCCGCGCACGGCCATAGCAAACAAAACCTGAAGCAGAAGCCCTAAACCCTAAACCCTAAATCCGAAGTGTTGCCCCGAGGAGTGCCCGGCTGGTACCTATTCGACACTTTCAGGCAGAGAGATGAGCTTCCCGGGTTCAGGGGTTTAGGGGTTTAGGGCTAAGTCTAGGATCTAGGGGTTTAGGGGTTCGGGGGTTTAGAGTTTATGGTTTAGGGGTTTGGGGGGGTTTAGGGGGTTTAGTGGTTTCGGGGTTTTAGGGTTAGGGTTTAAGGTTTGGGGGAGTTGCTTCGGGTGTAGGGGTTTTGGGCTTCTGACAGGACTTGCAGGGCCTGAGGATGGTGTCGTCCAGGCTGCACACCCTAAACCCTAAACTCTAAACGCTCATACCGAAACCGCAAGCCCCCAACCCCAAGCTGCAAAAGCCTTACCTCCCCCCAAGCTTACTCGGTCTTACCAAGGGAGTTAGGGTTCAGTTTTTTCAGCTCGGCTTCAGGGAATTTCCTGGGACCCCATTTCCCTACAATTCTAAGGGTTATACCTACTAAATAGGGCGGGGAGGGGGGGGGGGGGGTACTTACTAGTAACTGTAGAAGGTATAAATAGGGCCCCTAGTAAACCCTGAACCCTGAACCCTGAACCCTAAACCCTAAACCTACTGTAAACCCTAATCCCTAAACCCTAAACCCTAAACCCTGACCCTAAACCCTTAACCCTCAGGGGCACAGGCAGGTAAGTAGGGTTCCAGGTAGGCAGGAGCATGTAAGCCATGTGGAGTGAAGGCATAGTTTCAGATTGTCGCAAGATGGCCATGTGGGCTTAGGGTTTCGAGGCACAGGGTTTAGGGTTTAGGGTTTCATGTTTAGGGTTTAGGGTTGAGGGTTTAGGGTTTAGGGTTTAGGGTTTAGGATGAAACACTACCCGGTTGGCTCAGGCCGCACAGTCTCTGCCACTGACCTTACTCGAGTTTCTACCCTCCACCCGCCCCTCCCTGCAGCGAATGCCCGACCCAACGCAAAGGGTTTAGGGTTTAGGGTTTAGGGTTTAGGGTTTAGGGTTTAGGGTTTGGGGTTTGGGGTTTAGGGCTAGGAGTAGGCCCTTATATTCTATTTATTAGGGTTGGGGTTCCCTTAGAATCCCCTTAAAAACCAACAAGGGCACCCATCCCAACATTCCCTGGGCTCTCTGAGATAGGGCTTCTTTCTGGCTCCCCTAAACCCTAAACCCTAAACCCTAAACCCTAAACCCTAAACCCTAAACCCTAAACCCTAAACCCTAAACCCTAAACCCTAAACCCTAAACCCTAAACCCTAAACCCTAAACCCTAAACCCTAAACCCTAAACCCTAACACTAAACCCTAAACCCTAAACCCTAAACCCTAAACCCTAAACCCTAAACCCTAAACCCTAAACCCTAAACCCTAAACCCTAAACCCTAAACCCTAAACCCTAAACCCTAAACCCTAAACCCTAAACTTCACTTAGTTTTTTTTGGGGGTGTTTGTGGTGCGTCTGGGTTTGGAGGTTGGTCCGTAAACCCTAAACCCTAAACCCTAAACCCTAAACCCTAAACCCTAAACCCTAAACCCTAAACCCTAAACCCTAAACCCAAAGTACACCCTAAGCCCGAAACCCTAAACGCGAAACCCGAAACCCGAAGCCCAAGCAAGCTTTGGGTAGGCGCGTCGTTGTGCACAAACTGCCCCGCGGGCTTCTTCTCCCATTCGGGGAGCACCGGCTGCCGCTAGGCCTTGAATGTTTTCGGTTTTTTTTGGGGGGTAAGGGTTTAGGGTTCAGGGTTGAGGGTTCAGGGTTCAGGGTTTAGGGTTTAGGGTTTAGGGTTTAGGTCTGGGCGTAGTTTGCTTGACCAGGTTAGAGCATATAAACTTATACACATTTATTTTTCCCCCTAATCCCTGCCCCAGTTTAATCCCCAATCTGTGGCAGGTTTAATGTTTAGGTTTGGGATGTTCCCCCTTATACTAGCAGTCCTTAGTAGGAATTCGTGTACCCCCTCTTATCATCCCGAAACCTTCGGACCGAAACCCAAGACCCGAAGCCCTCAGCCCGAAGCACCAAACCAAACCCCAACCCCTAAACCCCAAGCCCCTAAACCCTAAACCCTAAACCCCAAACCCCAAACCCCAAACCCTAAACCCTATATAAACCCTAAAAACCATGCCCTGGGTTAACGACCCGTTTAGGGTTTAGGGTTTAGGGTTTAGGGTTTAGGGGATCTTGAATCCTAAGCCCCTAGACCCTACAAAGGGGTATAGCGGGAAATCCCACCCCCTAAATTCAGAAATGTAGGGCCCAGGGCCATGAGTGAAGGTTCATTGGTTCTCAGCAAAATCGAAACCCCGGACCTTGAGTTTGTTGGGGTGTAGGGTTTAGGGTGTAGGGTTTCGGGTTTAGGGTTTAGGGTTAGGGTTAAGGGTTTAGGGGCTGAGAGTTTCAGGTTGAACAAGTCTCTAGAGGTTTCGGGGTCTTGCTTTCAGGGTGTAGGATCTCAGCGTTCCACGCTGCTTGTATCCAAGGTTGCGTGTGGCTCTTGGTAGCCCAGGGGTACCGTTTTGCCTCTTTTTGGGTTCAAGGTTCCCTTGGTGAAGTAGCCACAACCACCCCCCAAAAAGGGTCCCTTATGATATTCTGGCTGCTGGGCTTCGGATTTCGGGTTTAGGGTTTAGGGTTTAGGGTTCAGCCACCCTTGGGGTTTAAGGTTTAGGGTTTGGGGTTTAGGGTTTGGGGTTTCGGGTTTAGGGTTTAGGGTTTGGGGTTTAGGGGTTTAGGGTTTAGGGTTTAAGGTTTAGGGTTTAGGGTTTCGGGTTTCGGGTTTAGGGTTTAGGGTTGGGCCCGCTGAGGCAGCGTCTGCGCTGCGGGCAGCTATGGGCAAGATTGGGGTCTGGCACAATGCCAGCTCTGTCCTCAAGGCGGGCACTCCCCTAAACCTGAAAGCCCTAAACCCTAACCCTCAACCTTATAAACCCTAAACCTGATAAACCCTAAACCCTAAACCCTAAACCCTAAACCCTAAACCCTAAACCCTAAACCCTAAACCCTAAACCCTAAACCCTAAGCCCGAAACCCTAAGCCCGAAACCCGAAACCCGAAACCGCCACAAGTTGGGTTGTTGTGTGTTGACGTTCTGGGCTCGGGGTCCGAAGCCTCAAGTGCGTTTGGGATTTAGGGTTGAGGGTTTAGGGTTAAGGGTTTAGGGTTTAGGGTTCAGGGCTTGCAAGTGTTTGTGAGGTGCCTGAAAGGACGAAATGGACCTTAAAATTGGGATGTTAAGCCCGATGCACCTTGTTGCGGATAAGGGTCTATGGTTTAGAGTTTAGGGTTTAGCTTAACCCTAAGCCCTTCTTTAGGCCTGTATAGAAGCTCTTTTGACTTAGAAAGCCTACTTAGTATCTCCTAGAAACCCTATGATAATTACTCCCCATAACCCCACTTACTACGTCAAAAGGGCTTGCAAGTAAACCCTAAACCCTAAACCCTAAACCCTAAGCCCTAAACCCTAAACCCTAAACCCTAAACCCTACACCCTAAACCCTAAACCCTAAACCCTAAACCCTAAACCCTAAACCCTAAACCCTCAACCCTAAACCCTAAACCCTAAACCCTAAACCCTAAACCCCCAACCCGAAACCCGAAGCCCTAAGCCTGCTTACTAAGTCAACAGGGCTTCCAAGTAGACTCTCATCCCCCCTAAGCGAGCACCCTGAGCTCCCTGGAGCTCTAGAGGTTTAGGGTTTAGGATTTGGGGTTTGGGGTTTAAGGTTTAGGGTTTGGGGTTTAGGGTTTGGGGTTTAGGGTTTGGGGTTTGGGGTTTAGGGTTTGGGGTTTTGGGGTTTGGGGTTTAGGGTTTGGGGTTTAGGGTTTGGGGTTTAGGGTTTGGGTTTAGAGGGTTTAGCGGGTTTAAAGGGTTTGTGGGGGTTGTAGGGTTTATAGGGTTTTGTGGGTTTCGTCCCAAAGGAAAGCTTGCAAAGCCTCAGTGTTTCCAGGGACCTACAGCAGCGCCCTCGCCGCGACGAGCCCGACCGCCTGTGAGACGCCGCCTGTCCTCAGGGGACCTGATGCCCAGGTTTTCCCCCTTAAATGATTCTGGTTTGGGGTTTATAGGGTTTATAGGGTTTTCGGGTCTAAGGTTTATGGTTTAGGGCTGGGATGTTCCCCCTTATACGAGCAGTCCTTAGTAGGGATTATCGTGCCCCCCCTATTCGAATTCCTATTGAGGACTGCTAGTATAAGGGGGAACATCTCAATGCCTAGGGCTCAAAGGGTTTTGGGGTTCAAAGTTGCCGTACGGGTTTCGTGGTTTAGGGTGCTAGGGTTCAGGTTTCATGTTGGCAGTTCCCTAAACCCTAAACCCTAAACCCTAAACCCTAAACCCTAAACCCTAAACCCTAAACCCTAAACCCCCAAACCCTAAACCCTACGCCCTAAACCCTAAACCCTATTTTGGGGTTGACGGTGTTAGGGGGTTAAGGACTGGAAGACATATTTTAGGGTCCTCAGGGGGGGGGGGGGTATGTCACCCAAGGTTCCCTTGCCTAGGACGTCCCACTCCTCCCTAAGTCCCTAGGGTCGCCTAGGTACCTACCCCCCCCCCCCCCCTGCCCCGTCCTTTCAGGACCCTACGAAAGTAGGGAACACGTAGGAACTGTCCTGTGTACTGTTGGTTAGTAGTGAATGAGGGAATGAGGTACGGTATATCTCCCTATATATGTATCTATATATATATATATGTATATATATATATGTATATATATATACACATACACCCTTTAGGGGATTATATAGGGTAGCTCATTCCCTCATTCCCTACTAACCAACAGTAAGTAAGCCCGAAACCCCGAAACCCTCCTTGCAAGCCTAGGCAAAGGGCTCCTTGCGGGTTTTAGGGGTTTGCGGTTGAGGCCTGTTAATCCACTCCCTATTAAAGAGAGCACAAAAGTCAATTTGAGGAGACACCTCAAGAATGAGATTTCCGACCGCAACATAAGAGTAGGTATACTCTAAGGTCCCTATTCTCGGTGCGCAGGGGAGGGAAGAGATCTCAGTGATGCTTTCTTTTCCCCTAAACCCTAAACCCTAAACCCTAAACCCTAAACCCTAAACCCTAAACCCTAAACCCTAAACCCTAAACCCTAAACCCTAAACCCTAAACCCTAAACCCTAAACCCTAAACCCTAAACCCTACACCCTAAACCCTAAACCCTAAACCCTAGACCCTAAACCCTAAATTTAACCCTAAACCCTAAACCCTAGACCCTAGACCCTAGACTCTTAACCCTAAACCCTGAACCTGAAACCTGCTGTGGGGCTGCAGACTGCATCCGAAACCTTAATGGAGTGAAATCATCGTGGAGGTGCTTCCACCCACCCTAAGCATTCTGGCGCAGTAGTCTTGTTGCTTGAGGTGCAGAGTGCGAGGGTTTTGGGTCTAGGGTTTAGGGAGTTTAGGGTGTAGGGTTTGCAGCGCCAAGGGCAGAGGATTTCGGGTTCGGTGATTTTCGGAGCAAACCCCTGATGAAGGACTCTCTCCCAAGCCAATCTGCTGAGAGCGCGCAGGGCAGTTTGCCCTTAACTGCTCTGGGCGCCAGTCATATCGTAAACCCGACACCCTGCATCAAACCCTGAAGCCCCAGCGGACCTTGCTTGCAGAGTCTGCGGACAGCTGCGCTCTACAGTGCCTTGGCGCAGGGATGGTACCGGAAAAATCTGCAAGAGATGCACCGTGCAAGCGACGCAAAGACCAGCCGCCGCGATCGGAAGTCCAGGCCGCTCTTACAGGCGCCAAGTCGGACATAGGCCTATAGGGTTTCAGGGTTAGGGTTTAGGGTTTAGGGTTTAGGGTTCAGGGTTTAGGGTTTAGGGTTTAGGGTTTAGGGTTTAGGGTTTAGGGTTCGGAGGCGGCGGAAGTAGTTTAGGGTTCAGGCACTGTCAGGCAAGGCTAAGGCAGCCACGACGGCCAAGCTCGAGCCAGCCGGACCCCGCCGCCTACTTGGAGGTTCATGGTACGTCTGGTACGTATGAACCAATGATATAACTGTGCGTATAAGCCACTTATGAGCCCCTTAACCCTAGTATGGTAAAAAGTACCGTTACAATTGGTTCAGAACCTCCTAAGTACCCCAGCTAACCAGCCGAGAGCCGGGACACCAATCAAACCTTCAAGCCTTCGCCATAAACCCCTCCGAAGCCGTCGACTTCGAAATTCTTCAGCGTTTACATTTCATTGATTCATGTAGGGTTATGTTTTTTCTTTCAAGGTTTTGGTGAGTCTATAAAGGGGTACTCTTGAAACATTGGGTTTAGGGTTTAGGGTTTGGGTTTAGGGTTTAGGGTTTAGGGTTTAGGGTTTAGGGTTTAGGGTTTAGGGTTTAGGGTTTAGGGTTTAGGGTTTAGGGTTTAGGGTTTAGGGTTTAGGGTTTAGGGTTTATATGCTGGTGGACGCACCACCCTCGATGTACCTCACGAGGTGCGGCACGGGCTCCACCACCGGATCGGCCGGGTCCACCACTCAAAAGGACGCACCAACATGGGTTTAGGGTTTAGGGTTTAGGGTTTAGGGTTTAGGGTTTAGGGTTTAGGGTTCAGCATCTCAAGTTCGAGCATTTACTAGGCCAGCAGTGTATCTAGGCAACGGAAAAAACCCACCCGCCCAAAGAATCCCATAACATTAAGAAAATAGAAGGTTACTTATTTTCTCTTCGGATGCACCAATCACGCCGTAGTACCAAGCACTTAACACAAGCCACACCCGGCCTTGAGGCCTTGAAACCCTAAACACCAGGCCTTGAGGCCCTGAAACCCTAAACACTAGGCCTTGAGGCCCTGAAACCCTGAAACCTAAATACTAGGCCGTGAGGCCGTGAAACCCTAAACAGCAGGCCTTGAGGCCCTGAAACCCTAAACACCAGGCCGTGAGGCCTTGAAACCCTAACCATTAGGCCCGGAAATCCTAAACACCTTTGGACGAAACGACCTTGCCCAGTAAAAAATGACCTAGCCCAGTAAAAAAACCTTGAGTAAAAAAATGACCTTGCCCAGTTAAAAAATGACCTTGCCCAGTAAAAAATGACCTTGCCCAGTAAAAAAATGACCTTGCCCAGTAAAAAAATGACCTTGCCCAGTAAAAAAATGACCTTGCCCAGTAAAAAAATGACCTTGCCCAGTAAAAAATGACCTTGCCCAGTAAAAAAATGACCTTGCCCAGTAAAAAAAATGACCTTGCCCAGTAAAAAAATGACCTTGCCCAGTAAAAAATGACCTTGCCCAGTAAAAAAATGACCTTGCCCAGTAAAAAATGACCTTGCCCAGTAAAAAAATGACCTTGCCCAGTAATGACCTTGCCCAGTAAGAAAATGACCTTGCCCAGTAAAAAAATGACCTTGCCCAGTAAAAAAATGACCTTGCCCAGTAATGACCTTGCCCAGTAAGAAAATGACCTTGCCCAGTAAAAAAATGACCTTGCCCAGTAAAAAAATGACCTTGCCCAGTAATGACCTTGCCCAATAAAAAAATGACCTTGCCCAGTAAAAAAATGACCTTGCCCAGTAAAAAAATGACCTTGCCCAGTAAAAAAATGACCTTGCCCAGTAAAAAAATGACCTTGCCCAGTAAAAAAATAACCTTGCCCAGTAAAAAAATGACCTTGCCCAGTAAAAAAAAGACCTTGCCCAGTAAAAAATGACCTTGCCCAGTAAAAAAAATGACCTTGCCCAGTAAAAAGATGACCTTGCCCAATAAAAAAATGACCTTGCCCAATAATGACCTTGCCCAGTAAAAAAATGACCTTGCCCAGTAAAAAAATGACCTTGCCCAGTAAAAAATGACCTTGCCCAGTAAAAAGATGACCTTGCCCAGTAAAAAGATGACCTTGCCCAGTAAAAAGATGACCTTGCCCAGTAAAAAGATGACCTTGCCCAGTAACATTTTTACTGGGCAAGGTCATTTTTTTACTGGGCAAGGTCATTTTTTTACTGGGCAAGGTCGTTTTTTTGACGAAACGACCTTGCCCAGTAAAAAAATGACCTTGCCCAGTAAAAAAAATGACCTTGCCCAGTAAAAAAATGACCTTGCCCAGTAAAAAAATGACCTTGCCCAGTAACTCCTTAACATTTAAATTATATATGAAAGAGAGGTTTAGGGTTTAGGGTTTAGGGTTTAGGGTTTAGGGTTTAGGGTTTAGGGTTTAGGGTTTAGTAGGGTTTAGGGTTGTTGGGAGTGGGTGTGAGGGCCTTCAAGGCTTCGGGTTGCGGGTTTTAATCGGGTTTAGTTCAAGGTTGGCCCCTAAGGTCCCAGCCGGCAAACCCCAACCCCTAAACATAAGGGGTTAGGGCCGGGGTTTAGGGTTTAGGGTTTAGGGTTTAGGGTTTAGGGTTTAGGGTTTAGGGTTTAGGGTTTAGGGTTTAGGGTTTAGGGTTTAGGGTTTAGGGTCATAACATGGACGAGGCCCTAAACCCAAGCTCCAAGCCTAAGCCCTAGGCCATGAAACCCTATAAGCCCTGTGAACCCTGTAAGCCCTTTAAACCCTATCACCCCTACAAGCCCTATAAAACTCTATGAGCCCTTTTAAACCCTAGACCTTAAGCCCTAAGCCCTAAATCCTAAACCCTAAACCCTAAACCCTAAACCCGAAACCCTAAACCCTAAACCCTAAACGCCCTAAACCCCCCCCCCCCCCCCCCCCTCCCCTACATCCCACAGCTCCCGCAAGGAGTGCCTGTCCTTTGCCAGCGGTCAAGAGCGGTTCTGCTCCGCCGGGAAGGCCGCCACGGAGCTTCGGGTTTAGGGTTTAGGGTTTAGGGTTTAGGGGGGCCAGGGTTAGGGTTTAGGGTTTGGGGTTTAGGGTCTCGGGTTTAGGTTTTAGGGTTTAGGGTCTAGGGTCTAGAGTTTTGAGTTTAGGAAGTTGAGGTTTAGGGTCTAGATAGTTTAGGGTTTAGGAAGTTCAGGTTTTTGTCCAGGAAGTTTGAGACCTTTGGGTTTGGGGCTTTGGTGTTTAGGGCCGGGTTTACGGTTTAGCGTTGTAAACCCTCAACCCTTAAACCCTAAACGCTAAACTCTAAAGGGTTTGGGGCAGGGTGGATGGAATGACTCTTTGGACCCTGCAGCCCGAAGTGTCTCCCCGAATATGTGACTGAGATCCGTCATGTGCAGCCACGTCCGCTTGCTTCGCCACATGCCAAACACTGCAGGGTTTAGGGTTTAGGGTTTAGGGTTTAGGGTTTAAGGTTTAGGGTTTAGGGTTTAGGGTTTAGGGTTTAGGGGGATGCTGCATGTGCGCATGCTCTCGGGCCAAGAGATGACGCGCATGCCGGCGAAACAGGCGAGCAGCGTCCGGGGAGTGAAGCGGCGACTGCAGGAGGTACACGGCCTCCCGCCGCGCTTCAGGCAAAGGCTCATCTTCGGGGGCGCCAGCCTGGCGGATGATGACAAGCTACTGGCAAGTGCAACCGGTGCCCTCTTTTCTTCTTTTTTTTGGGGGGGCGGGGGGGGTGGGGCGGGGGGGCGGTTCAGGGTTGTGTGAGCAAGTTAAGTCACAGGAGAAAACGGGAACGCAGGGTGCTTGGGCCACCTAGGCTAGACTCTCCCCCCCGCGACCTGGACCTGGACCTCGTCCTGCAACCTTTCTCGAGCGCTTCCCAGACACAAGCCAACGACCTCGTAGCTGCGGCTGGAGACGGCTCTGTGGAGAAGGTGGGGATCTTTAAACCCTACACCCTACACCCTACACCCTAAACCCTACACCACCCTTGCAGGCGAGACAGTAGACCCCCGGAAGCAACCCTAGGGTGTCTAATCACCGAAAGCCTGAAGGTCGAGTCCATGCTGCAGCTGCCCCTGGACCCCAATCTGGCCGACGCAACTGGTGAGACGCCGCTTCTGAGGGCAGCGCACGGGGGGCACGTCGAGGTCGTGCGCTTGCTGGTGGAGGCCGGCGCTGACAAGGACTTGGCCAACAATTTTGGGAACACTGGCCTGATGATCGCAGCACACTGGGGCTGCCTTGAAGTGGTGCGTTTGCTGGTGGCCGCCGGCGCTGGCAAGGACGTGGCCAACAAGCATCATCGCTACACGGCCCTGATGCTCGCATCTCTCCGTGGCTACGTCGCAGTGGTTCGTTTGCTGGTGGATGCCGGTGCCGACAAGGATATGGCCGGAAACGATGGCTACACAGCCCTGATGATCGCAGCTCGTCGTGGCCACGTCGAAGTGGCGCATGTGCTGTTGGATGGCGGTGCCGACAAGGACGCGGCCAACAGCGATGGGTATACAGCTCTGATGCTTGCATCTCGCGAGGGCCACGTTGAAGTTGCGCGCTTGCTGGCGGAGGCCGGCGCCGAAAAGGACGTCGCCACCAAGCAGCATTGCTACACGGCCCTCATGCTCGCAGCTCTCCGTGGCTGTGTCGAAGTGGTGCGATTGCTAGCAGAGGCTGGTACCGACAAGAACGTGGCCAGAAATGATGGCTACACAGCCCTGATGATCGCAGCTCACTGGGGCCACGTTGAAGTCGCACGCTTGCTGGTGGAGGCCGGTGCCGACAAGGACGTGGTCACCAAACAGCACTGCTACACAGCGCTGATGATCGCAACTCGCGAGGGGCACGTGGAGGTCGTGCGTTTGCTTGTGGAGGCCGGCGCAGACAGGGACTTGGCAACCACGCTTGGCTTCACGGCGCTGATGCTCGCATCCCGCCAGGGCCACATGGAAGTGGTGCGCTTGCTGGTGGAGGCCGGCGCTGACAAGCACTTGGCCAACAAGGAGGGGAACACTGGCCTGATGATCGCAGCACACTGGGGCTGCTTCGAAGTGGTGCATATGCTGGTGGCCGCAGGTGTTGGCAAGGACGTGGCCAACATCGACGGCAACACAGCCCTGATGATCGCAGCTTGTGAGGGCCACTTCGAAGTGGTGCGATTGCTCGTGGATGCTGGTGCCGACAGGGACGTGGCCAACAACGATGGAAACACCGGCATGATGATCGCAGCTCACTGGGGCCAGGTTGCAGTAGTGCGTCTGCTGGTAGAGGCCGGTGCCGACAAGGACGCGTTCAACAACGACGGCAGCACTGGCCTGATGATCGCAGCTCGCGAGGGCCACGTTGAAGTGGTGCGATTGCTTGCGGAGGCAGGTGCCGACTTGGATGTGGCCAACACCAATGGCGACACAGCCTTAAAGCTCGCTACTCGCTTTGGCCGTGCCGAAGTCACTTGTTTCCTTGAGGTGGGCATCGACAAGGACGTGGCCGACAAAGAAAGCTAAACTCAAAACAAGTCTCAAGATCGAAGCGAAGCCCGAACCCCCTCAACCCTAACCCCCTAAACCCTACACCCCTAAACCCCTAAACCCCTAAAACCCCTCCATTTGGGAAACGCGCTGAGGTTGCGCGTTTCCTTGGAGGGGGCTTCAGCTGTCTACCCCCAACTGCAGACTTGAGGTTCCCTGCTCGCTTGAAATCCCTAAACCCTAAACCCTAAACCCCAAACCCTAAACCCCAAACCCTAAACCCTAAACCCCAAACCCTAAACCCTAAACCCTAAACCCTAAACCCTAAAACCCTAAAACCCTAGAACCCTAAAACCCTAAAACCCTAAAACCCTAAACCCCTAAACCCCCTAAAACCCTAAAACCCTAAAGTTAAAGCCCTAAAGCCCTGAGGCCCTGAAAGCCGACAACCTAAAGTCCCAAAAGCCCTACACCCAGAGCCCGGAAAGGCACCCCCAAAACCTGAGATGTGCCAAGCCCTAAATTTAAAGGTTTGGGAGGGAGTTCGGGTTTGGGGTTTAGGGTTTAGGGTTTAGGGTTTAGGGTTCAGGGTTACACCCAGACGTCCTCAGCTTGAGCCATAGGTCTGCTCCATCACTGGCCTGATGGGTGCCCTGGCTTTAGGTCCGAAAGTTTCTTTAGTGTTTAGGGTTTAGGGCTAGGGTTCAGGGTTCAGGGTTTAGGGTTCAGGGCCAGGGTTTAGGGTTTAGGGTTAAGGTTTAGGGTTTAGGGTTCAGGGTTTAGGTTTTAGGGCTTAGGGCTTAGGGCTCTCGGGGCTTTAGGGTGTAGGACTTTAATTGGGTTTATCCTACTTCATAACCCTGTATGACTACTAGCTCAGTCCGGACATCCTCCAGGTGGGGGTT